AGCCAGAGAGACCCAGATTACATCCAAACTGTACAAAGACAAAGATTTTTAGAAGAAAAATTTTCAAAATACATACCGGGATATTTTCTTTTAAAGGAAGTCACACCCAAATATTCACTGACTTGCTCCTGAAGCATATAATATTCTCCTGTTTCATCTGGTGGCCACTTGTATTCTATCAAGTTTTCAGCAGGAAAATAGCTGTATCTAAGTATAAGAACAATGTTAGAACAAACCAAAGTAACCTTAAGAGGGATACTGACATTTCTAGAAATCCAATAATTCCTGTTTATATGACAACGAACAACATCTATGAAGTTGGACAAACACCTTAGAACACTGCATCCTGTTAACCCATGTCAAAGTCACTATGTTACACCCCACTTCACACACATTTCTCCAAACCAGCATTCATCACTATGCTGAGGGACAGAACATGAAGAAAGGGATATCCATGATAGCGGACAGGACATAGGGAAAAGCGGGTACTACAGTGTCAAAATTAATTCAACAAAATACGTAACCTTTTAAAAACATGTAAGCTGTGCTTCTGATTGTAAATTAGCTGCAGTACATTTTCTGTCATTCTAAAGTAAAATGTCTTAAAATATGCTGAGAGAAAAAGACAGCTAGCTACTCACAGGACATGGCCTCAATTCAGAAAGATATATGAAGAATATACCAGCAAATCAAAAAGAGCCAATACTTAAGCATATCGAACAATACAGTAAGACTAGCAATAAAAAAGTGGGAATTGCAAAAAATGGTATTACCCGAGGTCTTGACTAGAAGTTTCACAGCTCCGAGAACTGTCTCCTGAGCCCATACGTCGTCTTTTGGATGGCTGGCTGCCATCATTGGAATTTTCTTCTGTGTCATCCTGAAATTAAAATGAAGATAAAATATTTTAAAAATTAAGAGAATTCAACAGATAACATAAAACATCAAAAAATACTGCAAGGTAATCCACGGTTTAAATATACCTGAACTACTTAGCAATTTAATAATACACTTTACAAACAACTCATAGGACAGTTTGCGTAGCAAATAATTTTTTGCTACATACTAGCCGCATGACACACAGTGGCACAGAGGGAGAACTGAGTAGTTTCTCACCCGTTGCACAGGTGGAGCACTGAATAGACAGAGACAAGGCTCTGACCACCAAGTTTGTCGTTCTGGATGTAAACTACCTATGGCATCAGCACGGCCAAACAGCTGTAGACCCAGCAAACTTCCCTTGCTGCTCTCAAAAACAAAAGCAAGGGCAGAGCAAAACCACCAAGCCCTTGTTGAAAGCTGACACTTATAAAATAAAGGAAAATATTACCAAAAGCAATACAGGAGTTTAAGGACAGAGTTAAAATAAAAGGACTGGGTATATAGTTTACAAAAAGGTATAATTACAGCAAGTAGCAAAGACTTGACTTTTGTGGGGAAAAAATAAATAAAAGAAAAAACCTTAAGTTGTATTGCAACAGATATAGAAGAGAACAATGCTATTGCAAGGGAACATTTAGAAGTTAACTTACAGGTGCCACTATTCAGATTTCATGAGATATATATAAAGAAAGGGAATAAAGGGTAGAGAGAAAAAAACAAAACAAAACAAAACAAAACCACAAAACACCACCAAAAGAGAGTACCCTAAAATCTAGCAGACCAGTGATTCAGCTGAATCTTCTTGTGTTTTCCACTGCTTCGTTGTCCAATAACACTATACAACTCCTACCTGCACCATCATCAACTCCAACTCTCAAACCATCTAGTGACCACCCTTACGTGATTATAATTGAGAAAAAAAAAGGCAGAAGCGTTCAAGTGAATCGTCTGCTGTCACCAGTAGTAGAGCCAAGAACAAGACAGCTCTTTAAGTAATTGAAACTCTGGAGTAGTATGAAAGAATCATGTTTCAGAACTTCTGCAAAAACTTTAAGAAAGAAGAATTAACCTGTCAGAAACAAATGAGCAAGCTCAATTATACTTACTTATTAAATAATTACAAGAACAATTATTCGGTCTACCTCAGCTAACATATTTCATTCTAGTATGTTTTACATACTTGAAATACCATTAAAAAAAGATTCCAGCAAATGAGAATACATTACTTTTGTTATGTAACATTTCATGGTACTATAATCAAAACAGACCACAGGGAAAAAGCATTTGTCTCCTGTATTTTTTATTTACTTGATGTTTTTCACAATTATTCATATTTTTTTTCTTTCTCATGAAGTCACAAGAAGAATATCTCCCGTAACAAATACTGAAAAGCAAAAATTTAATGAAACTGTGCTTTCTTAACTCAGCTATAAAGAATCAGGTAAGTAGCATCCCCACTAGCATTATTAGTAATACTATTTCCTAGTATTGCTGAGAATACCCAGTATAAACTCAATCAGACAAACCAAGTAGCAGTCCCCAATCAAAACAATATCACATGAGAGTATTTTGCGCCACAACTATGTGTCATCAGTACTTCATCCCTACCTCCCACACAGAACATTAATGCACTCCAAACCTTTCCAACTACTAGACAAAAACATGAACAAGGTCTAAACTGAGCTACCAAGACTTCAAAACATTTTAAAAAGATAGATCTCAACCTGACAGTTAAGTGCCTCACATCAGTTTCTCTTTTTGCTTTGAAATTTTCTTTTCTTAAATCCAGTAGTTAAAAAACATGAGCACCTATACCACAGGAGGGACGAATGTCCTCCATTTGCATCTTTGCTTTCTTATTTGCTGAAAGCTTCTGTAAATTCAATCACCCAGGCTCCCAGACTAAAACAGTGTAGGAAGTGAGACAGTTTGTTGCAGAGGACTTTGCAGGAAAAGTGAAAACACTTGCACTGCAATTTAAGACACGCTGTAGTTCAACCACTGTTACTGTACCAAAAATAATAATTAGGGAGAGTCTTGTGACTTTCTTTACATGGAAAGTCAAACACTGCCAAAAAAAAAAAAAAAAAAAAAAAAAAAGGCAGCCTCTTCCTCCCTTGAAAAACGCACGTTTCTGTAAAAGCCCTGGTGGTCCTTACGAAGTGAGGATACATTACGAATTCCTTTATTACGTAACCCGAAAGCCTGAATTACCAAGACGTCCTTCAAAAAGTACCTGCCAAGCCGCACACCGAGCGCGGGCGCGGAAGTCGCAGCGAGCGCTCGGTGCCACAGGCCGCGGCGGGCAGCGCGGGCGCAGCTCCGCAGGACCTCGCGCAGCAGCCCGCGACCGGACCCAAACTTTGCCGGGCGCGCCGCCGGGGCGCTGCCGCCGCCCGGAACGAGCGGCACGGCCCCCGGGCACCCAGCGCCCGCCCCAGCCCCGCACCCGAAGTTCGGCCCGGGAGCGGGAGGCCAGCCCGGAGGAGGGCGGGGGGTGAGGTCACGGCGCCCAGGCCGGGAGGGGAGCCGGGACACCGGGCGAGGCCTCCCGCCGAGGCGGCTGTTGCGCCGCAGCCCCAGGCCGCCGCGCTGGGCCCGCAGCCCCGCGGCCGCCGCCCGCTCTCACCTTCAAGGATTGTGCGCTGGGCGTAGCTGGGTCGCTATCGCAGAGGCGCGGGGACAGGACGGCCGCCATGGCCGCCGCCGCCGCCGGCTGGGAGAGGAGAAGCGCCGCCGCCGCTCGACCCGGCCTCGCGCCGCGCCCGGCTCCGCCCCCCCTCCCCCTGCGGGGGGTGGCAACGGCCCCTACCGGCCAGCCCGCGCACGAGCGCGGCGGCTCGCGCAGCTCCTGCTCCGCCCCCCTCCGGGCAGCCCGCGGCGACCCCGGCCCGCGCCGCCGGACCGGCACCCAGCCCACCCCGACGCCGCGCGGGCCCGACGCCGCCGCCCCGCCGCCGCGCCCTCCCCCTCCTCCTCCTCCTCCTTCTCCTTCTCCTCCTTCTCCTCCTCCTCCCGCCGCCGCTCGGGTGGCCCCGCGGCCCGGCCGCGAGCGCGGAGCCGAGCCGCCTCGGTAGCGCTTGGGCAGCAGCGCGGGGCGGAGGGGCAGCATCCCCGCGCCCCGGTTGGCGCCGAGCGCCGCCGCCGCAGACCGGTGCGGGAGCTGGCACCCGGCAGGGCTGGGCGGCTCCGCCGCCAGGCTCCCGTCTCCGGGAACGTCAGCCGGGGACGAGCTACGTTTGTGAACCATCAGCCCCCGCAGGAGGGGGGTACGAGGGGCGGGGGGCGCACTCGGAGGAGCCGGCAGGAGCGCGCTCGCCCCTCCGAGGAGGGCGCTGGCGGCCGGCCCCGCCGCTGCGCGGAAGCGCTCGGACGGCTGCGCGCCGGCCGGCGCCGCCGCGTCCCGCTCCCGCCGGTACGGCCGGGCGAAGGCGGAGCGCGGCCCTCCCCGGCAGGAGAGACCCTCGTCCCGCCGCCGCCGGGGCCGGGGCGGCGCGCGCGCCCGCCCGCGCGCCGGGGAACAAAGCGCGAAGGCGCGCGCGCGCCCCCACGGGCCGCCCGGCCGCCGCCCCCACGGCGCGCCCGCGCCCCCCCCCCCCCCCCCCCCCCCGACAGGCCGCGGGGAGCGGGCAAACAGCACCCACCCCCGCCGCCCCGCAATACAACCGACGCGGAAAAGCCATCAGCGTGCCCGTTCTGCGCGCGGCAGCTCCCACAGCAGATGCCCACGCGCCTCAGATCTGCCAGAGCCTCATCACTCAAAACACAGCCGCTGCTGCCCTCCCCAACTACGGACCAGTTACCAATAGCCCCACTACTGGTCCCATCGAGCCTCCACTGCTGCCGGCAGGCCCCACTCGAGGAAAATGCTCCCACTCGCCCACAGTGGTGCTCAGCCACCAGCCAGAACGCAGCTGACATTTCGGGTAAGTTTAAGGCCCGGGGCAGGTAATGACATAACTCGCGCTTCCATCGAGGGAAACGACTGGAAATTTGCACCAATATCTACGTGTGCAAAACACGGCTTCCCTCCCGGCCACGCTTCTCCACAGATTGGCATTTCATCCAAGATGCAACCGGGAAAAAAGGATAGCTGCCTTTTCTCACAAAAAGTGGGCTTTTAAGAAGACCAATACCTGCAATTTATTGTAAACGTTCGTTAACAACTCTAGGCATGCAACAGACAAGAACATTCAAAATTTTGCAAAGTTTGGCCTTACACCAGCTGCTTCAACTTCCACAGCAGAGCATTACGACAGATGAAGCCCATATGTACTCAACCATACACATTTCAAAAGCTTTTCTTGTTTTTTTGTTTTTTTTTTTTTTTTTTTTTTGAACAGAGAAAAATGAGCAAAGTAATCTCAACTATATGGGCCAACAGCACTAGGACAAAAATTGGTACTAAAATAATGACATTCTGAAATTTTTCAAATATGGCAGGTACTGTGATACACAAAACCAGGTGTGGCTTTTAGAGTATTAATCGTAGTAACAAGCCATTACCAAAGCCAGTGCAATAAATGTTTCAGTTTCACATTTTGCTGAAACCCAAGTGTCTCTCTGATCATCCCAGACACATCTGCTGGCAACCTAAAGGAAAGAAAAGAAAAAGCCCTTTGTGAATCTATAAACAGCCTAGGTTTTATATTTTTCTTAAAAGAACACACAGCATTATATAAATACTGTTATAATTGCATTATCGGATTTAAAAGTAGTAACAACTGCAAAAAAAGTAGTGTGAACATTAGCAAGTCCTGTTTGATGACAAAATACATGCTTTTGCTTCACCGTGAAGATCCCACACCCTATTAGATCCAAAAATCTCTACACCAAAACCTCAATTCTCTCTCATGATCACTTGTTAGCACTTTAGCGTACTGTAACAGCACCCCTTCAAGAGCAACACAAATAGACATTAGTTTTGGGAACGTAGACAACTAAGAAGTCACATCCTCTGCTCCTCTACTTCCAGCTTACTCCAGTCGACTTGTGACCATTTACGGAGCTCTCGGCTTTTTTGACAAGACTGTTTTCAAAGCTAAAAGCTGTGAATTGACTGCTGAAATAAACGTTATTCACTCAGACAATTTCAGTAATCCGTTTTAGCCTACAGCTCCTCAGCCAAAGTACAACTTCAGAGGCAGCGTAGACAGCACCTGAAAAGTAGGCGGGTGCAGGCCCCTCACAGACTGGCTTTATTGCTGAAGCTGACCACCTTTCAAACGTTGTTTTGCGTAACCCACTAAATACAGGTATGGTTTCATCAGGTTTTAAGAGGTGATGATGAACACTCCTAAACAGAAGTGCTCTGACACTCAGCAAGATACCTAAAAGCGTTCTGAACGCCAATGGGAGCTTGTATTACATGTAAATTTATATACAACATGGGAAAGTCTGGAATACTTTTCTTTTGGGTGTGACAAGTTTGGATCACTAATGTTAACGTGTAGTCCCAGGAGCATGTTTGGTGGCAGCTACAGTTTAAACAGTTTCCATGCCTTTCCCTGCCACCCATTCCTTTCCATGCCACCCCACACTTTAACTACATGGTATTTAGCGCCAAATGTGACAACCCAACTGGAGGCCAAAATATGTTGGAAAAAGAAAATTCACTTCAGTCACGCAATTGTACTGGCACAGCATGCAGCAGAAGTAACTGGTTGACAGGGAAGAGCAGCACAGGCAGCTTACCACCATTACTGAAATCAAAAAGACAACCACCTTCTTCGCAGGGTGGGGTAGAATCACAGCAGTACCTCAAATTGTGACCCGGCATACTACTCCCCATAAAGAACCTAAAGGTTTGAAGATCACCTCAAAGTAGTTAAGCTGCTGAATGCGGATTAATGCCTTGGAGATAACATACAGTTCTAAAAATTAGTTTCAATTTGCAAAAGATACAAATAATTTGTTGACTCACATTTATTGCCTGACCTGTCTTTTCCACAATCTGTACTAATACCACGTACTTATAACGGTCAAAGTTGAATTCCTTCACAGCCTTTAATATTTCATCTGCGAGTGAAACACACAAGGAGGGACTAGAATCTCGATCATATTTGGCTTGCTGGAGTTTATTCTATCAAAAACAATTTTGAAAGATCTTAATTTTCATCCTGGTAGTCTATCCCAAAAAATGTTTTACAGTCATTTTTATTACAAGAACATTAGAAGAACTAATGAGTAGAACAGTCAATATAGATGATGCTCTCAAACAGCAAAGGCTGCACTACTTTTACTCTAAAATGTGTTATCTTTTTTTTGAAAGTGACAAATACATCCAGCCAATCTCCATTTAACAAACAAGAGTGTATTCCTCTCCATCATTTGGGCTCAGTTCATTGGAAAATAGTGCTACAAATACCTGCTCCAAATATCCAGGGCATGGCTTCCAGATGGCAGAATTACAAGAGTTGGTTATAACTATTCAAGGTATCACTAACAGCTACATATTATCTCGAACAGCTTGTTCTTCATTTTTGCTTATTTTTTCTGTGTGGGAGTCAGATTGACAAGGACACCAAGTATATTTTATACAGGTCCTGTGATACTGGAATAACTAATTGAAGGTATAGAATTCTACAAATTCAGTACTGCCATAGCTCAATTTGATTTAGAAATGGTAACAGTTTAGAAAGTTTCAGCTCCACATTAACAGCACACAGTATTGACCCTGCAGAGGGCCTTCTGCACTTTGCGTTGCAAAACAGAGCACACTCACTTTACATTTGTGTGCAAAAACTTGGAAGACTGCAAAGGTTTATGTAAATGTTTAGTTTATGCAACTCACACTGTGCCATTAACATAATCTTTGCAAGACAAGCTACTTTTGCAATAAAATTAGACAATTAAAAAAATACTATACCGTTAGTATCTCTTGAGCTTTGTCTCTTACTAAATAATCTCGAAATTTATTATGTGACTCCAGTCTGTATGTATTAGCATATCTTATCTTCGCCCTGTTAGCTTTGGATGCCAATTGCTTAGCTTCCACTGAGTCAGTAAAACACTCTTCTTCAATTGGAGCCATACCTGAAGCTTCGTAATTTGATTGTGTCCTTTTCCCCTCCATCTGTGCAAAATAATAAAAAAGTCCACCTCACATGTCAGTATTTTAGCATTTAACAATCTCTAAGTAATACTTTATGGTGTACAGTTAAGAGGAAAAAAAAAAAAAAAAACAATTAGTCTGGGAATATGTTACAAAAAAAAGCAGAAAAGCTAGAAAATGGGTATCTTTCCTTCTGGCTGCTTCGACACACACAAAAAAAAAAAAAAAAAAAAAAAGAGAGAGAACAGTGGTTAACTTCCATTCAATTTTAATTTATTTTCCACCAGAATCTAAAGTGATTCTGTGATGATTCTAAGTTTGCATTGAAACTCAGTCAGACACACCATACCAGCACTCTGAATCCACTCCATTTTCCAAGTAAAAATACACCGATATTAACTCATGTCCAAGATTGTTAACTGCAACTTCAAGCTTTTCGTTCAAACAGCCTACACAAACCCAAAATATATGCTTGGTTCATTTACTACATAACTTTCCTCATCCCCATTTCTTGTGAAGCTACTAAACAAATGCCTTATGTATTAATGACTTAATTTGCTCTGATCTGCAAGCTTTGTAATTTTGCTTGGAACTTAAGAGTAGTGATACTTTTTATTTGTCAACAGAACTCTGAAGATCCAAGTTTTCTCCCCATCCAGCTTCTGTACCATCATTCTCTTCAACACACGTCACAAAATTTGGCCCTCTATAAATGCAAGCTGCAAGTCTGATGATGCACACAAAAGTTGACACCTGCTGGCCTCCATGGATGGCTTACAACAAAACTGTAAAATTATAACAAAACAAGACAGAAAAAGCACATGAAACCAATGAGATCAAAACAAATGCTACAGACAGTGGTCTTCCATACCAGCTACCTCCTAACTAATCACTTTCAAGTCTTGCTGATTCTTCAGTCCCTTGCTCTTCTTCCTGACTACAGCTAGAAATTAGGTGAGAGAAGATCATCAGTGCCCTCTCAGAAGAGCAGAAAAGAGCACAAAGGTGATATAACACCACAGCGCAAGGCTTACATGAAGAAGTATAGAAAAAAATCAGACATTTATGGATAATATTAATAAATAATTTTCCAGTGAAAGTTATCTGGAAAGATGCGCTACTCAGAGGCTCATCAATCAGTTGGAGGAATTTGAGAATAAGGGAAGGAATGCAGTTTCTTCTCTATGAAATCACTTACATGTCAGCGCTGTCAACACTGTGGACATTACCTACATCTCTCCTCTGGTTCCTTACTGTTAGATAATTCTGTTAAAAACCAGGGATTTTGGCAGTCCTAGTGAAAATTGGCTGCAGGTGTTTGTTGATTCCACGCTAACAATGCAAACTCTGAATAGTACTTACACTATACTAAAAATGCAAGGAGCAAACTTATTCAAATTTAGGCTGTGAACACTCATTATCTTCTAACTGAAACTCAGATCTATAGACTATAGCCCCTACTCGCTCACCTCAGGTCTCCTAACAGGATAAAATGCACCTCAAGTCTGCCAGCTGAGCTGCTCAAATGAGCATCCCAATCCATGTCAGTGGAAATAAATCTGTGATAAGGGTCACAATCCAAAGAGTAATTCTTTGCTAGCATGGTTCACCATGAGTCACAACAACGTCAGCCTGTACCATTACAGATGGAAGACAATTCATGTCTATCACACATGACTTCTAACAATGGTGCTACTAACAAGTTTAATTACCATAATTAGTGACAGAATTTTTTGTAACCATTTCCTCATGTGCAAGAAGCCATTTACTAACAAGGCAACCAAAAACCCTACTGATATCTCTATACAAACAGCTAACAAATAAACCTAATTCTGTACTTCACAATACAAATACTGTGACTCCAAGTTTTAGCACAATGCTGCAATTACATTTCTGTACAATATTTGCACCCTTTGTGAAAGAATCTCTCAAAAATTCAAGAGCTGACTTTGCATTTGACTACACAAAAGCCTGTTCTTACGTTACTGGACTGTCCTAAACTGGCTTCACTTTAGGCATATGGAAGTAGGATGAGAGAAGGAAGCTTTTGTTACTTGATAGAAACACTGTTTGTTAATAAGCCCGTTTTAACAGCCGATAGTTGCTTTAAAGAAACAGTTCATGCTTATTTAATCAGAAGAGGGCACACCCTCCTAAATTAAGAGACTTTACAGCAGCACCCCAAATTGGAAAGACTGCACCACCGAAGGGGGAGTCCACCCTCGCCTTCTTTTTACCTTCCTAAAGCTTTCACAACCTTGCCTCCCCGCGCCTGAGGCGGCTCCCCGGCTGCAAGGCGGATGCGAGCGGGACACCCGACCGAGCAGCGAGGGGACGAGCCATCCCAAACCGGAGGTAAGGCAGGCGGGAACGGCGTTTCCGATACAGGCGCACACAGGATCACGCTCACCGCCGGCGCCTCCAGTAACTGAGGGCCCCCCAGCCTCCAGTAACTGAGGGGCCCCCCAGCCTCCAGTAACTGAGGGGCCCCCCAGCCTCCAGTAACTGAGGGGCCCCCCAGCCTCCAGTAACTGAGGGGGCCCCCCAGCCTCCAGTAACTGAGGGGGCCCCCCAGCCTCCAGTAACTGAGGGGGCCCCCCAGCCTCCAGTAACTGAGGGGGCCCCCCAGCCTCCAGTAACTGAGGGGGCCCCCAGCCTCCAGTAACTGAGGGGGCCCCCAGCCTCCAGTAACTGAGGGGCCCCCCAGCCTCCAGTAACTGAGGGGCCCCTCAGCCTCCAGTAACTGAGGGGCCCCCCAGCCTCCAGTAACTGAGGGGCCCCCCAGCCTCCAGTAACTGAGGGCCGCCGCCCGCCGCGCCCCCCCCCCAGGGCTGCCGCCCGGCCCAGGAGGCCGCTCACGCTCTCTTCATCACGCTTCCCTCCCCCGGGGGGGGCTGCTGCAGAATTCGACATGGTGCAGCGCCGCTTTCCCCCAGGGCAGGGGCGGGCGGGCACAGCCACCTCTCCCCGTCCCGCTTCCGGCGGCGGGGCACGAGCCGCCTTCGCGCTCCTGCCAGGCCGGGGCTCTTCCCGCGCGAGCCGGGCGTGACGCTACGCGCTAGCGTAGCGTCGTGACGCAGGAGGGGGCGGGGTCCAGCAGTAACGGAGGTAATGGCAGCGGGCCGGCATGGCGGGGTGGCGGATTCCGGGAATGAGATGGGGGTGGGAATGACAAGACAACGGGGGGTCGCGGCCGCCCTCGCTGCCCGGGGGAGCGCGGTAGCTGCGGGCTCGGCTCGGCTCGGCTCGGCTCGGTTCTGTTCGGTTCGGTTCGGCTCGGCTCGGTTCGGCTCGACTCGGTTCGGCTCGACTCGGCTCTGCCACCCGGGGAAAGCCGGGGCTCGGTCACGGACTGTTCCTGAAAACGGCCGCCACCCGCTCCTGGTCTGCCCCGCTCTGCGGGGCGACTGCGGTAGTGCGCGCTTTGCGATAGCCTCCCGTCTCTGGCGGCGGAATGTGGGGGGCCTCAAAATAACGTGAAGGACCGAATTACCTGTTTAATGAGCATTTTTTTTTAAATTTTTAATAGCTAAGATACTCCTTATAGGAAGTGTTATACTTGTTCTGTGTTGTTACCCGTATGAATACGTAGTCTCTCCTCAAATCCCTGAACTCAGCAAGTCTGTACTGTGAGGGTCAATTCCACTACCTAATTAAGATGCAAAAATGGTTTTAACGTTAATGAAATCTTTTCCCGTTTGTTGTGATACTTCATTTTCAAACGAACTCTTGTCAGTCTTTTGTTTGATTAATGAGGAAGCATGACTATTTACTAAATCAGAAGCATTTCACTCTTTGTTATCATGAGCAGTTCTATCTTTGCAAATTATTTAAGTTAAATGTGTGCTTTTGAATCAATCCATCCTTCTCTTTAGACTAATGTTCAGATAACACTTATGCTTAGATTGTTCTACCGTTACTACTAGTTCATACAGAATTTATGTACGTTACCTCCTCCCCCACCCCAGTGATTTGCTGGTCATAAGGACTGAAGCTCTTGGTTTTACTTGAAGTAGCACCAGTTTCCCTGTAAACTCAGAGATTAGACAGAACAGTTATATATAAACTGGGATCTTTTGCTTCAATCTATCTTGGCATCAGTTCAGTAGATATAACCATTCAGAAATATACCATCCTGGCATTATGCAACTAGAGCAATTCCTCCTCTCAGTTTCCACAAGGTGGTTCTGCTCAGAGCGTTCCTTTCATCATATACATAGATAGAAGTTGCATCACAAACCTTAACAACTTGTTTTCAGATGCTGCATTACTATCTGTATATCTGTGCTTATGGGTTTACTTCAGTATTATTTTTGTTTGTTCTCATGTACTTTCTTAATGCAGGGACTTTTTGTGTGTGTGTTCTAGATGGCCTTGCCACATTCGGTCACTACTTGTCTTTCTCCACCTGTGCATTATGTGATTTGCAAACTTGGATTTGAGAAGAAAGACAGCTATGATATTAATACTATTTTATCTGAAAATGGTGAAGTATGTTGGCAAGCTGTTACAGAGCATGTGTGCTACCTTGAATCAGGTTGGTGTTTACCTGCTGTAGTAGTGATATATTTAAGACTGATGCAGAATCTCAGTACAGTTCATAGCAATCATAGTTTAGTTATAACATTTTATTACAGTACAGCGTTAGCTTTGCTGCAGATTAGAGTACATACAGTTGATATCTGCAAGGAGCTTTAAATTTTTTCATCCACGTTTGGTATTTGGTTATTGTTGGCTCATGTAATCTGTGCTACTTCAGTAGCTGCTCCTTTGCTTCCTCATTCATCTTGGTTTTCACCTTCATGTGCCTGTACATAAAGGGTTCAATTTGTTCCTCTTCTGCCTCATAATTTCTTTATTCTGTGTTGTTTATATCCCTTTTTCAGTAAATTTAAAACATTCTAGGGCCATCAGTATTCCTACTGTTGCTTCTGGTTTTGATTTCCCCAACTTTAGCTGGTACAGAAGTACTGTTTGGTTTCCCTTCTGTATGTAGAACAGTTTATAGCTGTTTTTTAAACAAAACAAAGTATGCCCTGATGAACTTGTTGAATTTTAAATTGCTAAATTGCATCATGCAAGCTCTGTCATTAATTTCCAGAGATGGTAAAAAGATGGTACATGTTTCTGCCTCAAGCAGTATATTTCAGTACATGAGAAGAATTTATTCTCCTATAAAAATGTCCCACCAAAGAGGAGCAGTGATCCCACTCTGTAAGGTACTTCTGCCTTCTTTAAAAGGTGTAAGTGGTACAGGTTGACTGATCCTTCTGAACCTGCACTATCTTTCAACTTGGTTATGTGGAATTTTTATACTCTAGCAGGTAGTAGGTTCTTCCCATTTCAACAAAACCAAAGCATAATAATCCTATTTATTTCCATATTTTCTTGCATTAAGGTTGTGTTAGGTTTTGGGTTTGGCTTTTGTTTTGGTTTGGTTTTTTTGTTTGGGTTTTTTTTTTTTTTTAACTTGGAGAAGGTACTTGATAGTATCTGGGTTCACACTGCACTTTTAATTTTCTATATCATATCTGTGTGGTCTTTTGGTCAGTAAACTGTTGTATATTAGGTGTGCTAAAATGGTCTGAATAAAATTCTCTGTGCCAAATACGTACACAAGCTGTAGCAGGTTTTACTCTTTGTGAGTTTTAAAATATTGGATCTTCAGGAAGTTTGGGCCTCTAATCACCTTTTGTTTTTCAATTTAAGATCAAAGTGTGGATTATATCAAAAGCATACGATCATTAGGACCTGTATGTGAATCTGTTAATTTGCACTTCAAATCTCTGACCAAGGAGCAATTTGTAATTCAGTACGCATTATGGTTCCGCTGGACAAACTGCACAGAGGTATGGAAATGTCTGTTGACAATTTGTATTTTGGCACATTAACCTTCTGTGGAAATTTAATGTAAGAACACACAAGAGATATCAATGAACCAAAATACTTAGAATTTGTAACTAATTGTCCCTCTCTGATACATAGTTGCTTCTAGTATTCCTGACTTTGTAAGTAGATTTTATATAAGTTATCACAAAGAGAACATGAGGTGCTTTGGGCCTGTTCTAACCTAAATTGGTAGGATTTTGGTTTTCTATTACTGTGTGCTTAATACCAAATTTTACTGTGTAAAGTTATTGTTGATAATTTTTATAGATGCAAGGCACTAGATGCATTGCAACTAAAAATACAGGAGGTGGTCTAGGGCAATTTCTTTAGAGACATCTGGAAAGATGCATGCTTTTCTTTCTACATTTGCATAGCAACTATCACAGAGGAATATTTAGGTTTCTGTGCTTCTGACAATTTTATTTTTCCTTCTGAATATTTAACACAACATTCTTCCTCTTCCCCATCATACAGTTATTTCTTGAAGTATTTGATGTTCTACAATATACACAAAATACAGAAGTTGCTCTTGGCTTAATGAAACTAACATCGTGCTTGGAGCGAGCCTTGGGTGATGTAAGTGCTGGCATGAGGAGTCTATTGCAGATTTGGTTTTATAAGATGGGAATGAGCTCCTGGATTTAATTGAATATTGAAAAAGTGAGATTACCCTGTACTGTAGTAGTACACTAGTAGCCCAGCTTCATTTTGAGTTGGATAGATGTTCTTTTCTGGATCCGGTTGTGCTAATGGGAACATATTGTGGGGTTCCTTCACCTGTGCTGGTAGAGTTGCTTGTGTGAGTGCTGTTACTAACCAGTTTCATTAAAAAAGACCAAAGTTTGCTTAATCAGTGTACATATAGTAGGCCATTGTTACTCTGATTTATTTAATTGAAACATGGAGCAGCATACCTTCCACAGAAGTTCTGATGATGTAGCTTCTGTGAGGAGAGGCAGGAGCACACTGCTAGATAACTTATTTCCTCAGAGCTCTGTTTGCAGAGTCTACATCTGTTTAAATGCTTTCACACAAGTCTTGTGCCACAAAAGCATCTAGAAGTCAGATAACAACTTAAATTCTTGACCTAACTGATCAGCTGGATAGATTTAGGATCCATCTTGTTCTCCTGAATGTTTGTCTTGTTAACACATTCCTTCTTTCATTTACCCTGTAGTAGTTAGTAAAAGTATGCACTCTTGTTAAGCTTAAAGAGTAATACTGCAGGAGTTCCATGACCAGCATGAGGCGAGGATATGAGATATGACTTAGACTTAGGAATTCTGACTGCTATTAGGAAACTTGTATTGTGAATCTTTATTGATGGAACGTGAATTAAGCTATAGTTCAACGTTTGGTGGTGGCACTGCTAAAGTTTGTTCAATCACTCTTCACAGTCATCTGCTTTGTTTGCTGGTATGTTATGTGAATGCAAATATTTTAAGGCCTAGTAGCAAATTAGATTGCTGAACTGATCCAGGTACCTTTTGACCTTTTTCCCCTACCCCCGTTTTTGTTTTTCATCTGCATCGATGCCTTGATCTGCTTCACTGCCTGACCACAGAAACAGATGTCACCACTACTTATGGGTGTGCAGGTTAGGGAGGAGGGAGCAATGGCTGTTTTCAGAGGCTTTGGTGCTGGAGTGTATTGCTCACACATAAGATAAAATAGCTGGTTGTTTAATCTATATGAGGAGCTTTGGAGAAGGAAATGCTAGAGAAGGACAATGGGCTAATTCACACCTAGAGAAACCCAGTTTGCCTAAACATGGGGAGTGGTAAATTCTGAAGTAATGAAAAATTACTAAAGATTACGAAAAACTGTCAGGGAGGATACAAAGAATGGAAGGCTTCATAGTGGTTGAAACTAAAGATGCTGAGGTTGCCCAGCTAGCATAAAATCTAGTTTAAGGAACAGCCAGAATCAGAAGATCAGTCACAAGTCTCCTTCTTTAACAATTACAGACTCAGAGATTTCTAGGGTAAGAATGAGGTATGGTGTCCTGGATTCCCTTAATTATGTATTCTTATTGTGCTTTACTTTTTTTGTTTTGTTTTTACCTTTTTTTTTTTTGGGGGGGGGGGTGGGGGGAAAGAGGAGCAGTAAGTGTGCAGACACTGTGAAAAGCCTAACTATGGGAACATTAAGTAGGATATCCACTCTTTCCTGATATGTTTCGTAAATTTTGTCATGAAATTACAGAATTTAAACCCTTTTTAATGATTTGGTTGATAACGTTTGATTAGTGTTTTTACAATAATGAAAATGGTTACTGGGTGAAATAGTCAAGTTGTATGTTTGAAATAAAAGTATACTGAATTACTTACGTTATCTGTTTTGCTTTTTTTTAATAGGTATATTTACTGATTGGTAAAGATTGCCCTTTCCTTCTAAGAGACTTGCTTGCTTCTAAGCAGCTTGCAGTTGTCTTTGGACAACCTGTAGTAAGTGCATAATTTTGAAATGAGTAATAAAAACTGAGCTGGTTTTCTTCTTGACAAATGGCAGGTTTACAATCATAGCCTTTGCTTGCACTGAAGAAGAGTTTGCAAATTCTGTAGTATATTAGAAAAACTTTAATTTTATACATGTTACAGTCTGGGGGATATATGGCAAAAATAGTGAATATTGTAAATGGAAATATATTTAAAGGTGAGCTCATAAGTTCTTATTTGATTTTCTACATAAAAAACCTACATGTGTAAAATTCCACATATCCATCAAGGGGGTGAGCAAGCTGCAGAGTTGCCCGCCTCTTTCTGAATTGCAACACTTGAAAATACACATACTGCACTGGCTGTTTCTGATAAACTGTGTTCCCCTTCACCACCACTGTAGTAAGATGCTTTATAATGTTTACCACACCAGAATTTTTCAAAATAGAGGAAACTAATTTATTCCCCATGTTCAAAAAAAACCAAACCAAAACAAAACAAAAACAAACAAACAAACAAACAAACAAAAAAACAATAAAAAGAAAATTCTGATGGCATTTATACTCTTGTATAAACAGAATGGGTGGTCTTTCTCATACAGTTTTACAAATGTAAATTCTTTGTTAGGACAAAATATTGGATGTGAACTGTAGAAGCTTATATTGTTAGTCAGCCTAGTAGTGTTATAAGGATTATTTATTGAATTTTGATGGCATGTGGAATAGTTCAATTCTTACAGTTACAAAATTAAAAAAATTAAAATTTCCCTTTTTGTAGGATAGTGATCTGTGAATACAGCTTTGAATACAGATTCTGTGTTTGAAATTAATTTGTATTAAATTATGGTGAATTTATACTACAAGAAGTAAGAGCTAAACTTGATCTCATTTGTTTTTCTGTCATAACTGTTTGGAATGTCTAATGATGAGTTTTGTTCTTCCCATATTATATTATATTATATAGCATGTATAAATAAGCTGAAAGATTTCCTTTCAGAGAATACTGGGAATTGCACACAATGAGTTACTGTTACTGTGACAAGCTATGGCCAGTCATCTTGATGGTAGACATTGCAGTTTCTCAATAACTTCTGAAACTTTCTGTCAGGGAAAGATTCAATGTAATAAATAATAGATTTTTTCATGCAGTAATCACTTTGTTTATTAATTAGATGAATGTACTGAGGGTATTCATTGGATCTCCATATGGTCTGAATCTTCGTAATGTTTTGTGGCATGGGTTTGCATCCCCACAAGAAATTCCTGCAAAGTAAGTTACCAAAAAGAATCTCATTTTCTTACCAGTCAGACTTGAGAGCGCTTGAGAAGCTGTTAGTAAAACTACTCTTACTGAAAAAAATTTAAAAATTTAAAAAGAAAAAAAAGGTCCAAAGGCCTCTGGCAATATCCTGACCATTTTCCTCTGCTGCTGCTGCTTCTTTTGGAAAGGGATTTCCATAGAATACTTCCGCCACTATAAAGCTGGTCAGTTTTAGGACCAGTGGGTTTTTTAATAGCAAGAAAAGTAAGAAAGCTTAAGGTCTTTTTTTTTTGAAACCTGGTTCCTTGTCTGTCAGGGCAGTCAGGAGTAACTCATAACAAAAGGCAGAGGAATGGGGTAAGAGGATGGGAATCAGCAGCCAATATAGAATACACTGATGCTTGTTTCCTAATTCTGCATTGTTCTTCATGCTTGTGAATGTAATTAATTAAGTGCCCCTACTTAAAAGAGATGGGGAGCATAGGTTTTAGATGTTCTTTACAAGAGCAAAAAGCCCTTTGTCCTCAACCCACAGATGTTGATTCTTTGCAAAATATTTAGTTGTGTAAGTGTTTCTAATCTATTATGATATTCTCCCTAGATATTGTGCTATGCTGCTTTTTTTAACTGCAGGATTGGGTCAGTTGTTACAGACATATCTTCTGCAAACTAAATGCATCTTAGTACATCGACCTTATGTGATCTTCCTTAACTTAGAGGAGCTTGATGTATTTCCAGGCAAGTATTTGACCATTAGCAAGTTTTATTATGCTATATTTGATATTGTTTCATTGTCCAAAATTGCTGTTGAAAATAATGCATTTTCCACAGTTCTGGGATTCAATCTTAAGTAAGCTACAAGTATACACTGTCATTAGATGAATCAATCATGCTTGTAGGGCAACTTTTTAATATGTAGGCAGTTCCACTGGCTATTGAATCAAAAAATACTGCATTCTAATATAATTGTAACACATTGAAATGTGTAATGTTACTGCTTCTGAAAGACTTCAATTGTATGTTTCAGTTTTTTGATGATGAGAGTTCATTTCATGTGACAGTTATCTAGTTTGCCTTTACAAGATCTAATTCTTTCCAGAATCAGTGAGTTCCAGCTGCAAGTGTCCCAGCAGGAGTGCCCTACATCTTACAGGGAAGGTAGTGTTGAAACACAGTAAAGAATGGTGACACATCTTCAGTACACTGGTGCTTTTCTCAGGGAAGGATCTGAAGTGTCAGATAAAAATCTTCGCATCTCCCTGGCTGTAGACCTTATTTGGTTTATTCCTACTATTTTTAAAGCAAAAACAGCATATGCAGAATCTTGGTGTCAGTGGTGGTCATAGTCAGTTTGTGCCACATAATCAGTTTACCAGTGGAACTTCTGTTCATGGAACTGAGACAGGGCTTTTAGGAAAAAAGTGAAACTGATAGCGTTCCAATCATCATGTAGTATAAATCCTGTAGCTGTTGATTTGCTTCATAAAACACCTACTGCAATTAAGTTGCGCTTGCCATTTTAAGCTTTCTCTTGGATATTTATAATGTAAATTCATAAGTGTGAGTTTCATTATTGACATATGACGTGTTAATTTATTATACTAAATAATGACTTTTTAACTAGTCTTACTCTGTAATTTTATATTATCACTAAAAATGCAATCTTACAAGTTCAATTTCTGAATTTATATATGACTACCATTGTACTTGCATAATTAAAATAATTTGGATAACTTAAATCTCCCTTTACAAATGCTGAAATAATCTTATATTTTCAGTGAAACATTAAGAATTCAGGAAACGATAGATTGTATTTAGTGTATAAATTTTTTTTTGCTAACTTGCAGATCTTAATCATGAAACACTTTCTGTAGCTGAAGAGCTAGTAAAACTGTCCAGTTTTGTATTAAAAACAATGTTGCCATTTTGGATGGCTGCTTTAACAGCTTTCAAGCAAAGCAGGTAACCACTGATTTTTTTTTTTTTAATTATTTTTTAAAATGGAATGTAAAAATAATCTATGCTTATAGAATAATAGCAGCATTTATAGATTACATATATATAGATTATTTAGCTTTTTGCTTAGCAACATACACTTATGTATTGTTATGGTGGTCTCTCAGTAAGTTTGTGGACTTACTACTTTATTTAGTGCCAACCAGGATTATAAACTAAATTTTGAAACCTAAAAGAACTATTGCAGATGTAGCCAAAAAGGAGAGTTTTACAAAGCAAGTGGAAACAAATTTTCAGCTATTAACATTTTGAGTTAAAAAAAAAAAAATTGTTTTCCTCTCCCATGCTTCACCTTTTGTAAGTTATTGTCAGCTCTGAGCTGGTTGAATTCCGTGGTCAGCTTCTGTTGGGCACAGGTAGTCATTTATTGTTTGTTTACAAAGTGCATTACAAAGGAATTTTGATCTGGGTTGTTTAGCCTGAAAGTGTAACTCTGAGATGGCTGTAATTTCCATTTGGATTATATTTACAAGGAGGGAAAACTCCTTTGCATACGTCTGTTATTTTTTCCAGGTATGCTGACTCTGTGATTCTCTTACTTCCTCAGCTGGAAGTTGGACTTAGATTGCTCTTCACTACAACTAATAAATGTCCAAATCGATTGCTAACAGCTGAGGTAAAATTTCTGTCTAGAGTCAGTTATGATTTAGTGCTAACAATATTTGCAGAGTAGTAATTCTAGAAGCATAGTGTCTAAACATTTACCAATTTTCACTCAAAGTTTCTTGATCAATTGTGAAACAATGTTTATAAATTTCCAGTAGAGTTTCATGAATGCCTCTTATTTTTTTGTAAAGATGTCTGCCAGTAAAAGAGGTCTGAAAAAGTTCTTGAACATTAGTGTTCAGAAACAGTAGTTTAGGTTGGAAAGTAGATCATGTTATATTTATTTTTAAAAACGTGACACAAAATTCAAAAGTCTCTTTTTTCTTTTTTAAGGGTTTGGGGTTTTTTTGCTATTCATGCACCTCTGGTATCTCATGTAAATGAATAAATAAGTTTGGTATACATATACAATTAATTGTTTTCATCTGACAATCAAATAATACTGTCTTTTGTTCCAGCCTTCTGCTCTCTACACCACTTTCGATGAGGTACTTGTGATCTTTTTTTTTTAAATATATATCAATGTCATAATTTAAGCACATGAATGTTTTCCACTACTAGAGATCAGAAAGCACTTTCCTGTGTTGGATAAGACATTATTTATAATTTTTTTCCAAATAGCTGATGGACAGTGAACATTTAAAATTTGGAATCCGTCAGAAAACATTAAAATTGATATAAATTTTAATGAACAGACTTTAATTTCTTCAAAGTGTTTCTATCTTGAAATTCTTCATCTCATGGAAATAAACATTCTGTCCTTTTTCCTAGATTCAGTTGTTCAAAATAAATACAAATAAACATTATAAGCAGATATCCTCAATTTTACAACTCTCTTGAATTATCTGGTCTGTCAGTAATAATTAGGCACCTTGATTCTTGAGTGGCAGAAATAATTGCTTAAAGTTAGAGAAACAATTACTTTAGTTGGTGTTTTTTCTTTGATGGTGTGACTTTCGATAATAAGTTTCTAATCAAATTACTTTTTTCTAGATTCTAGCAAAGCATTTGGATAATGAAGAAGTCAATCAGCTTCCTGCAGTTCTTGAGGAACCTACAATGGCAAGTTATTTGAAAGTTTTGTGTTTTTTTCCTTGTTGTGTTTTTTTGTTTTGTTTGTTTCTAAATTTAATTATATATTTATGATCATGCCTAATACTCATTTATTTCACATAGCTTATCTCCAGCAGTTTAGAACCAGAAGCTTGTTACCCTTTTTCATTGTGAAGGATACAAAGTAGTACCTGACAAGCTATATTGGATTAGCATATAAGACTATCTTTCTGAAATATAGAATCCTCAGAGATATTGATCTTTAGACTTCTGAAGATCAGCTGAGTGGAGCAGAAGAAAAACTGAAGCTTCATACAGGGAGAATTAAAACTTATTTCTGATTGCTTCTGGGATGCATCTTATTCTACCTGGTAGATGGCACAAAAACATAGATGCAAACCTACCAGAGTACATCCTGCATCTACCACCCAAACAGATAGTGAAGGTGAAAACTAGGGGTGTTGTATTTAGAGGCCCTTTGAGGCTGTAGGGCACACCTGAGTTTATTGTCCTGTTGCCAGAGGCAATGGGGCTGTGGAGGACTTGGGAGACAAAAATGAAGGAATTCTGCTGTTATCTCTCACAAAACAGCATGTATGTTAGTTTTGAATCTCCTCAGAAGCTACCAAGATGGATAAGTTGCCCGTTTTTCTTGCTATGAACATAATTTGCGTTTTTTTTTTCTGAGCATCTAAATGCCCCTTTTGTATATAGACATGATCACATACTTATCTTTCAGAGGTATTCTATACACAGAATATATTCTATTATATGTGAATACAGATTGCTTCTATTCTATGTGAGTACACATAGAATAGAATTCTATATGCTTGGTGTATGTTTCCACAGGAATTTCTTTGGGATTTCTTGAACCACCAGGAGGGTCCACGTTTAAGAGATCGTTTAAGCCATGGAGAGATCAATCTAGAAGCATTTCCCAGAGAAGTAGCTAATCAGATAGTTGCATTTGCAATTACTCTTCTCTGCAGATTCTCAGATGTGGACATGCTTGCTTTTAAGGTAAGGATCAATATTACCCTCAGAAGATTTTTTTCAGTTATTTTGGATGCCTAATCTGATTTTAGACAGTCTTATGACTGAATCGTTCTTGACAGCAGCTTTTTGTGGAAATGAAGTATTCCTCCAAGTAAAAAATCGTGAAAGTATGTTTTTTTCTAGATTTGTAGTGAAATAAGTGAAATTAATTTTATTTGTCAAATTTTGTTGATACCTAGCGTTGGGTATCTGTTGAATTATCTGAAAGGTATGTAAAACAACTGTAGCTCAGCCACTGAGTGATGTAATATTTGAGATTTTCTTTCTCTAAGACACTGTAAATAATGGTGGCTCGCTGATGGAAGTGTGATTTGTATCCACACTTTATACTGTAAATTTGTGAACACTTTTTGTCCATCAGTACATGTTTATGAACATTAGCAATTATTATACTTGCTCCCCTCAATTTCCTGTTGATATTTGGGATTACTTCTTCCAATATCATAGAGCAACCTGTGAGATAAATCTTCCATTAATTAGTTGTACCTCTTTTTAGTTTTTTCAAGATATATTGCATGCTGCTTCATTAAGAGAATACTTGGTTGCTTTTCTGTTAGCTGCTGTCAGGTTTCATAGTTAAAATGTGTCAAAGAAATTAAGCTTTAAACACTCACTGTGCTGATTACTGCTTTCAGCCCTCAGACGTTTGGAAGTCTTTATTGACTTCAGTACTATAGGTGGCTTGCATAAAATTAAGTCTAGGTCTGCATATGATTAGGACAGTTTAAAGAAACTGTTTTGTATCATCTATGATTTTGTAAATCAGGAACACATGATTATAAAACTGCTGATGAACTGTGCAAGTTGCTACCGTTCTCGATTTCATCCAGTTTCCCGACTCAAGAAACAGGTAGGTACTTCCAACTGTGAAAGCATTTCAGTCATTAAAGTTGTGAAACCTTAAGATTGGTCTGTTATCTTCATGCTTTGATCGTCCTAAAAACTTACAATCTTACATATTTTTTAAATAGGCTTTTTAGTTTTATCTTTCAGAATTTACTGGAATTTACAGTTTCTAAAATGGGATGTAATTAAGCATGCTTCTGTGGATGCAATTAGTGCTGTGTTTCTGCTCCAGATCACGGAATTACTTTATTGTTACATTGGTGTTTGGTGTTCTGTAGTTTTCTTAATCTCCTTGTACTTTCTTATGTCAAGAACACTGGCCATATCTAGGAATCTTGGATTAGGCTATAACTGAGGTTTTTATTGAAAGCCATATGGCTAAGATTCAGTCACTGTAGGAAAATCTGCTTTCAAGTTGTGGTAGTGTTCAGCTGATCAGTTTATGAATTCCTGAACTGCTTGAAGATGTTCCTCTTGACTTGAGATTGCAGTAGACATACTTAGTACTTTTCATTTTCAACAGCATTCAAACCATATGTTAGAAAATTCATGTTAGTTAATTTTTTATATTTAAAAAAAATGGAAGAAAGAATAGTAAATTAGCTTATTCAGATGTTGTTTTAGCATGAAAGTGTACATCAAGTCTTTTTGCCCTAACATAAACCTTAACAACTGATGTCAGCTTACACAGTTATGACTACTGAACAAGTAACTTACTACCTGTTGCAGTTTTTTCTAAAATAGCTGCTAGGAAGAGTAAAATATGTTGTTCTGTCTGTTAAAGGCTACGCTTTACATAACATTTTTCATGGTTAATTTCTGAGGTGCTGGAATGCATGAAGAGCATTCACTTATGGCCTGAATTGCCAATAGTGCCTGAGGAACACGTTCAAATGATTAAAGGGTATGTATATGCTGTTAAAAAAATATAGTTCTCAAAATACTTAAGAATGGGATTTGAAATGGTGAAATGTCTCTTCAAATACTTTACTAGGAAGATGATAGATACCAGAGGGGTTGTACATTTGTTCTTTTTAGCTTATTCTGTGCTATACACATCAGTTACAGATACTATAAAAGCTATAAACAGTACACTAACTTGAAGGAAATGAGAAGACATCTGAAACCTACAATGGTGTTGGTGACTCCATATTCTATTTCTAAAGAGATGCTGAAGGGTCTGTTAGGAAGTTAAACTAGAGCTTGAGTCCATTACAGTTAAAAAAAAAAAAAAAAAAAAAAGGTGGCTCACCACATGTAAAACAGAATAATTGCTTATTCTGAAAAGAGCTTGGTGACGAAATCAGTGGAAGACATAAGATATTACTTAGAAAAACAAGGTAACATTCTCTTGTTATTTGAAAAGGAGGAAGTCATTATTAATATCACTTGAGGAAATTGTGCTTGTTTAGAGCTGAGAGGTGAAAATGCAATGCATCTAGCATATACTCAATGTACTCAATGTTATGTGGGATCTTGATGAACGGAGGATTAAGAGGGGTTCAGAAGTCTGTTGAGACTGAGAAAAGGTTGGGTTTAGTTGGAGGAAGAAAATCACAAGGTAAAGAACCATAGTGTCAGAGAGTGAGAGCAGACATTGAATACACTGCTATCCAAAAAATCTGCATCTCAATCTATGCCATTTGAGAAATAATAGGTGCTACACAGTTTTACCATCTCAAATCTTATTTTTTTTTCTTTTGTTTTTAAGGTTGGAAGGAAATGCTGGAGCTAGTACTTTAATTTTTATGATATCTGAACTTATATCTCAGTTGCAGCAATATATGCCCCAGAATTGCTATAGATCAGATGATCTAATCAATAGTGTCCTAACAGAGAGGTGAGTTTGATGTTCTCCCAGTTCCTGCCGTCAGCTTCTATGTGCAGCCCAGCACAAGAACTCGCAAACCTAAGTTACTCATTTCCCTGTTTTTAGAACAATACTTGAAATGTTTAATGAACTTTTCTAATGATGCTGTTTGTTCAATCTAAAAATCTTAAGGATGTAGCTGAACATCATCTTCAAAATGAAGATGGGACATTATTAATGGAGATTTTACTTGGAAATTAGCATTAAAAAAATAACCATTTTTCTTTCAGACTGGGGAAGCAAAATGTTTTAAGTATTTATGTACTGATTAGATTAAGTTGATTTTAATCTGTTTTGTGTGCTAAAACTGCCTCAGAAATTTATTTTAATGTGCTTGGTGTCACAACTGTTCATAGCATTTAAAATAGTAATATGCTGCTACATAATTCTATTTTGGAATCTTGATGCTAAAGCATGTAAGAATAGAAGATACGTTGTTGTGCTTGTCAGACTTGGAGGTATGTTAGTTCCAATTATACCTGACTTGGAATAATGATCAAAATAATTTTGCTTTTAATCGGCACTCTTATAGCAGTTTCAAGAGTCCCATGACTGAATGAACACATTGGAACAAAACTCTTCTAATCAAACACATGAGGCATGGTCAAGGTAGTACAAAGAGGATTTTACCTGATGCTTTACTTATGTAGGCTGTGTGCCTTCTGTTTCCTACCTACCTATCTGCACTTTTCTCATTTATGAGAAAGAAGCCTAATTACTAAAATGTTAAAGCATTTTTAGTTTTCTGCCTTTATCACTTTTAGTCATTAATGTTTTGCCAACTCAGAGATAATTTGAGCATAAGGGAGATTAGGAAACATTTTTATAAGAACAGAGTGTTTAAAGTGATGTGTGACACATTAGGTTAACAGATTAGAATATGCCAGGGAGTACAGTGATAGGATGGAGGGTAACGGTTTTCAACTGAAAGAGGGTAGATTTACATTATATGTAAGGAAGAAATTCTTCACTGTGAGGGTAGTGAGGCGCTGGAACAGGTTGCCCAGAGAGGTGGTAGATGCCCCCCCCCTGGAAGGGTTCAAGGCCAGGCTGGACGGGGCTTTGAGCAACCTGGGCTGGTGGAAGGTGTCCCTGCCTGTGGCAGCAGGTTAGAACTGGATGATCTTTAATGTCCCTTCCAACCTAAAACATTCTGTGGTTCTATGACAGTAGAAAGCTATTTGGGTGCTTTAACAAATCATTATCTGGTGTGGTGTTGATTAAAACAACGGCCTCACCACCTGCATTTTACAAAATGTTAAGTCTGTCTGTTGTTCTGCCCGGAAGAGAGACCACACACTAATGGGAGTTCTAATTGATACCATTTGTTTGAGTGAGTTTTATTATGGTGGATGTTAATTCATTGTGAATTGAACTATGGTGGGAAGACTTCAACCACAGCCCTGCTGTGATTTGATGTGTTCAGTGTATCATTTCAGCCAGGCAGTTTTGTTTATTGTGGTTTTATTTCTTTGATCTCAAATGAGAAACACATTCATCACCAGCAGTTTTGCATTTAAATTCAATAAAATGATAGAGAACACAATCACTACCCCTACTACATAGATCCTTGCTTTTCTTCAGTTATGAGGTAAGGGTAGTCTGTTTCCAGGTTTTCTGAGTTAAAACATTATGAATCAAACCACACCAAATATGAAATGTATCTCATGTTAAATCCAGATGTCAAAAGGTTGAAATTAACAGTTCCTTCCTGTCTTGCAGATTCTTAATTGAACTTTGTGATACACGTATTTGCACACTTTATTCACCGCGACCTGTTCTGGAAATGGTGGTGGTACTCCGTAAAATAAGCACACAGTGCCATCAAGTGTCTGAGCAAGTTATTGCCAGCACCGAGTTGAGATATGAACAGTGGATGAACAAGACTCTACGTTCTCGCCAGAGGCATAACTATCTACGAATGTTGAACAGGTTGGCTGATGGCTTTTCTTTACTTTGTGGTTAGGCTTATGAGAAAGTGGCTATATGCTGTTGTTACCAGCTTTCAGTGTTTTGTCTTAGAAGTTTAAAGTTAACAGTGTGGATGTGTTCTTGTCAACCATTTCAGAGTTATCAACCCAGATTTCTATTGTGTAGTAATATTGAAATAACAAGAAAATTTCAAATTGGTGAGTAATGTAACGGCTATTTTTAGCATTGCTAGATTAATTCACTGTAAATTATAAGCTTTCAAATAAAAGTATAATTTAAACGTTAGATTGCATTTTTTAGTTGGTAGCTTTTTCTATATAAGCATATAAATACCATTCCAGTTTTATCTGAATGCACTAGGTTAAACTGATTTCAAGACTCTATCTACTTTAATTCTGTTGCTTTTTATCATTATACTGAGTCAGCATCTTTATAGGTAGAAGAGAGATTGTTTAGTATTCTATTATTTTTGTTCCTATTCAGAAGTGCTTTCCAGGGATTTATGAAAAAACCTAGGAAAACTGTAAATATTGTATTCTTGGCCAGGTTATGTTCCCAAAAATGTTAACCATATTATTTGAGAAACATAGCTTAAACTGATAGCTGACAATACATATTTGCAATTCAGTTGAATGGTACTTTACTATCTATGAAGTAATGGGTGCTGGTGAGGTTTCCTTTGGAATCTTAACTATATCTGTTTCTCTTTTTTCCTCTTTTTGGGGTTTCATAAATGATGGACTTCATTTATAGCTTAGATATTTGCTCAGCTCTTTGCTGAAGGACTTTTCATGGTCTTCCTCCCCCAGCCCTCAATATGCAATATCCAGCTATTTAGAATGGATGCAGATGTTTGAAGAATTGGTTTCTATTAATGATTCCTATTTAAATTTGGTTTACTTTGTTTATTTTAAAATATTTTTTCTTATTTCTAGCATTAAATTTTTGTCTCCAGTGTTGCGGCTCATCTTGATGTTGATTACTCTGGAACTAGTCAATGTTCATTTGGTTTGTAAGAAGAATCCTTTTGATTATCAGCAGTATCTAAAGTGAGTAGATAAGATTTATTTGATGAAAATAGGAAGTTGTACACATTCCTTTTTGATCTGTAATATAAATCCTGTAGAGAAAAAAATAAAAAGGAACAGCATGACTTTTAGTACGTTGTCATCCTTCTTTCTATCATTTTAATCATAATTATATCTCAGACAACGTTCATTCAAGAACTAAAATAACTTAGTTGAAAATGTATTGTCCAGTAATTCACAATTTTAGTTTTGATTAGACTCTTCCTTAGTATAAATAAAGAATGATCACACACTCAAGAAATATTAACATGTTGGTAATTTTACTCCTTGTATGTCACTTAGCAGCTGGCTAGATATCATAGGCATTGTGAAACATTTGACTGAGGAAGAAGAGAAAGCCATTTGGGGAAAATTCTATCACATTTTATCACCGTATTCTGTCTATGGCAGTGCTTTAATTGCAGTTCTTAAAATCATCGCTTCTTACTATGAAAATGACAGAGTGGTTCTCTTCCAAAAGTAGACGAAACCTTAATGCATTGATCATCCTGAGAGAGATTTGAAAATTTAGAGACATTAGCAGCTGTACATCAAGCATTGAGATATTTTTCGTTAATTCTTTTTTTCTATTTAAATCCTTTATTGAGTTTTTCTTCTTTGGTTTTATTTCTTTCAGGTTTTTGAAGTCAATCTTGCAGTATACTGAGAACTTGGTGACATACACAAGCCCTGAGAAAAACAAGTGGGATGAAACCATGGAGCTTACAAACAAGGCTTTGATAAAAATAAGGAAAATCGGTGACAGAAAGCTAATGTTAATGCAGCTAGCTACATAAATTAAATGGGTTTAAGATTATTTGGACATTGCTATATCTTAAGAGTTCTGGAGTCTTCAAATTTGCCAAATCTAATACAAAGACAAACTTCATCAGTCATTGTCAAATTTTACATGAAAAATTTAGTCTTTTTATTAGAAAATGGCTTTGAGACTAGAGTCGAATGATTAAGCTTCCAAAGAATGGACTGGTTACCAAACCCAGTGAAAAAGATTTATTGTGAGCTAAATGTTGAGGATGCAAGTTCTACTTTAAGTGTATTATGTGTTTTGTAGCTTAATTTTTTTTTTTTTTTTTTTTTTTTTTTTTTTTTTTTTTAGTTTTCTATTATGCTGAAAATACCAAAGAAAAGATTGTGAATAAAAGCTTTGGAAAATTTTAAATCCAAAAAGTCATTTTTTACTTTAAAATATACTGGAAATAATGTCAGGCACTGTAATCAACAGGTTAAGAAGAATAAAGGTTGTCCACTGTGGTTCTTCTTGTTATTAGTTCAAAACAGCCAGGTCTTGCACTGAGGTAGAGCTGGTAACAGAGTAACCAGTTGTTTGTATACCAGGATTTAAAGGAGGCAGTGTGAAATAACTTTTGCACAGTACCTGCTTCTTTTGTTTAATTTCACCTGCTCATTCCCAGTACGTACCTAGTTAGTTAGTGAGTTAATTTCATGCAGATTAAATATGAACACTCAGGTGCACACGCTTACAGACACACATGTATTGTGGTTCAAAAAGTTATTCTCTTGTTACACACAACATTAATTTGAATAATTTATTTTTTCAAAACAAGTTCTCCTCCTTTCCCTTCCCCAAAAAGTAGAATTTCAAAGGAATGCATTAGTTGAAGAACAGATTCACAAAAGACTGCAAATCTCTATCCATTTGCTTTTTCCTATGGAGAGTAAAACCAGAGGGTAATGTCTGGAGAATGTTAGGCTCTACAAAGGATTAGAGATTCAAATTACATTTTAAAAAGATTCTTTGCAATGTTTCTTGACTGGAAATCACAGTGAGAGCGCAACTAGTTTGGTTTATTCAGTGTGGAGGATGGATATAAACTAAGATCATATTGCTTCCTTTATGCTACTCTTGCAACATAGTGTGTGTGTTTGAAATTTAACTATGTTGCTTTTCAAGGTTTTTTTATTACTATGGAACTAAATGATATGATGAAGTGTGAACTAGATAAAAAAGATTAAAACTAGAAATAGAGAATAATGTATCAAATGCAGTATAAGAGCCACATTCTGAAATTTTAGGTTTTTTTAACACCTGAGTTGGCAAATGCTAATCATATTTTTGAAGGCTTATTTGGTGCCCATTGAGTTTACTCAGATGTGTTAACTTCTGCTAAATGTAGCTTGGTAGTGACATTTGTGATGACTCTTGATTTGATGGTGATAAATATAGTAAGGGGGTGGATGATAAGTATTGTAAGGAAAAAAAATATTTAGGCTTTATATATTTATTGTAGGAAAGAGAACAAGAAATTAAAACACAGAGTCATGGTTTAAAAGTACATAAACAGCTGACATGCTTTCTTCTTTTGAAAGTATGTTCATGTACTGAAAAGTAACCTTATAGACCATAAACTTATGTTTTCAACATAAGTTTTCTTTCATGTATTTAAACTTTGCTAAAATGATCTTGCATACGATTCTCTTCATATGCTGCTACCTAAGATGGAGCACATTGACAGTGTCTCCTGTACTAATTAGTGCCATAGATGTCACTTGCTGCTTTAAGTCTGCAATAAGAAGCACGATGGACTTCTCGCAATTTTGTCGAAGATGCTTTTCCAGTTTGCTTTCCTACCTCTGAAGCTTTCTGGTGGGAACAGTGCTATGCTCTATTGTTAAACAAATCTGGAACAGACTGGGACAATCCAATTCATTCTGACTTAATGCTGTCATTTGCCAGTAGAGCTGCACGCGGGGCTTATGGTTTCTTCCTGCTGTTAAAAGACTTGCAGAATAGAGCCGCAGAATAAGTGCATATTTTACAATGCACATTGAAAAACAAATGGCAAGAGACATCGTAAAGATCATGGGGCTTGTCCTTTATCAGTTACTTGAAATGACTTCTCCAGTTATTCATCTTTGCCATCTGTTTGGAGTCACTTTGAGTTTTAAGATATTAGAAAGAATCTTGACTCTGAACACTCAGTATTCCTGAGAGCAAAAGAAGCTTGGAATAACCAAAGACACCCAGTGGGTACAACTAGCATGAGTAATGGCTGACAAAACACATCATGTTTAAATGCAAGTGTCCTCATTTTTGTTGTCCTAAAGGGAATTAGTTCTGGAGCTGAGCTGTCCAAAACTGCATAGTCATCCATTAGACATTCAATTAGTTCAATCTTTTTTTCAAAGTTATTTCAGTTTTGAAACTTCAAATATCTAGAATTGTACCAAAGAATGTTTTCTTTCAAGTGTGGTATTTCATCCAAGCATTACTTGCATCTGTTTTAATTGCTGACCTTGCTCACTGGGGTCTGCATTTTCCTGGAGCTAGTATTCACTCAGTGAATCTATACAGACAGATATGTGGAATCTTCAGCATCCTCTCAGGAAGGTGGTTGAAATATTTTCTTTATCTGGATAATGCTGATGGGAGGGTGATGATTCTTCAGTCAGTTCTTCTGAGTTGAATTAATCAATTTATGTGTGTGTTTCTGTATTAGTTAAAAATAGCTGAGAATTTCTTTATAGTACTTCCTCATCTTACAAGCTGATGTTAGGCATCCCAACTCAAAGAACTTATGGCAGAAGTTTTGAAAACATGGAAGAAAATCAGGTATACATCTTTTTTGCTAAGTCATTGGAATTCCTTTGTGTCTTCATGAATATTCCATCTAAATTGTAAGAGGAGCATCTCTAATAATTTTAGCTTTTCAGTAGTGACATGCAGTTCTTCTGCTTGCCTTCTACCTCAAGGAGAGTTTTCAGGTGAGAGATGGTATTAAATAATAAGAAATTGAATGCTCTTAATTCAAATTGGAATGGATATAGTTTTAAAGTAAGTGTAGAGATCTTTTACTGCTTACTATAGAACTAGTGAAAATTAATGTTGTAGGAAGTCCTCTGAATCTGTTGTCTCCATCGTTATATGAATGCTTTCTTCATACACATAAACATTTGAAGAAAATGCAATCTCTGAAATAATTGTTGTAGCTGTGAGAACATTTGTGGGTTTTGGTACATTCTAGAGACCATCAAGATGAGCTAGAAGTTTACTGCGGTAGCACTGCACAAACACAATGAAACATCAATTACAGTAGGCATCTGTGTGTGGAAACAAAGCTTGTCCATTATTTTCTCTCTGTCATTCTCTAGTTAGTGCTCTCCACCATGATGATAGGAGGGGTTAGAAACAGAACCATGTGTTCTTATACAAATGTAACACAAGTGGCTAAAAATATTTAAAACCTCTTTGGGGTTGTTATCACTTGCATTACACAGCAACGTTTTACACAAGAGAGCAACAAATTTGACTTACTTTATCTTTTAATACTTATCATCTAGCTGTTTTCAAAGCCTGATCGTCTTTGAAATGAACACATGGTGGCAATGTTTGGTAATTCAAAATAGCGTTGCATCCTGACATTTACTTTCTTATCTCTCTTCTTAGACTGTGTATAAAGAAATTGAGTTTTCTTCTGACTTCCTCAGCTTTGTTATATGTCCCTTTAATTGTGGCTGCTGCTTCTGATGAAACTTTTCTCTCTTCGATTTCTCCAAAAGTGATATGAAACAAATGAACACCTCTGAAAAAATGTTTTGCAAACAGCATTCTAATAATTAGACAGAGATTAATCACTTTTACCACATTACTTGCTGAGGAGTTTTCAAATTTTCCAGAAATTCATCAAATCCCCCTCTCCTCAGGTAGTTTAAGAGAAGGAGTTTTTTGAACTTAATAGTTCGTTTTAACAAATTGTTGCTTATGACAAAACCTAAGAATGTATCGACATTCCTAAAAAAATCCAGATTGTCCTTTGTTAATTGCTGTGATATCATGAAGGATCTTATCTCAAAAGCAAAACATATCTTTTGAACAAAATTAATGATTGTCAAGGAATGTGTTTATTGAGAAAATTGCTCTGAGGTCTCAGCCTTATTGCTGTGGTAATTATTTTTCAGTCTGTTAAAACTGAAATGTGCTATTCATATGCCATCCTGTGAAGAAGATATAGATGAGCACTGCTTGTTGGGTGGCCTTTGAAAACCTTGTCCACAGTAGCACTTCCAAATCATGCAGAGTGGTTGCAGTTAAAAAAGATTTTAATTCATATGAAGTAATTTTTGTACACTGTGAAATCTTGTGTAGAAATGTTGGAACATCCCCAGCAGAGCTTGTTTTTGCCTCATACTACATTAGTTCATCTGCTCCATGTATGGTATATCACCTTTTTTTCATAAACTGGTCTGCAGATGCAGAGCAGATTCCTGGCTAGCATAAGCTATTCCTGTCCCATCTACTTCAGTGCAGATCTTTTACTATACTAAGGATTTGCCCCATGCTGTTTGAGTTTCCCTTGAAATGGATTGGTTCCTATCTGTACTGCTTTTTCAGGTTTATGTATTTTCAGAGGACTGGAAGAGAGCACTATGTATTTCGAATAAAATTGCTGTGTAGCAAAGCCTAATTAATTTAGTGGCTTACTTCACAGGGGAGTTGGGATCATGTGTGGGACTTCACAGCTATATACCAAATTCTTAATTCTTTAATATTTTTATGTTTCAGAAAGAACTTCATCTAGAGTAGAAATCTGTTTTCTTTTTGAGGCTTTTTCAGAGACAATGCTGTAGGTTAGATCACCTGATTTTTGCTTTTTAAAAATTTTCAAGGATAAAAGCAGATCTTTTATTTAAGAAGTCTTTTAAGCCATATAGATTGTTCAGATAGAAATTGACTGAAAGGAAAATGCCTGTTGTTTGCCTTCCCTGGGCCCCAGGCAATAGGATGTAAATATGCGTAGTGAATACCATGTGAGATCAAACTGGCATTTTTTCTGAAGGTGAGAATCCAAGACAATATATACAATTAAAGCCAACAGCCTTGCCTACCAAAAGGAGTCCATGCCTTCTGGCATTCTTCACTGAATACCTCCTCTGTTCCTCTCCCATGTATATGCATCTCACAGTTTTCTACAAAAAAAAAAAATATGCATAGTAGAACCAGCCAGCACCAGTTTCTTTTCCATGTTTTCTTTTCTCTGTAAGGGATTAGTTGTAGTAACAGATTTCATGTGCCAGAAAGTGGGTGAACATTAACTATTTTGTCAGGCACTGATCCTTCCCACAGCCCTGCAAAATTTGAAATGCAGGAATGGTTATTCATTAACATTTCTTTGTGTCTACAGGAAGTACATTTACTATGTAAACATGTTTTATATAGAACATACAGCTGTTTTGAACGAGCACTCAATGAAACATAAGAGTACAGTGCCTACACTGCCACTTCAGAAACTCTGAGATACCACAGCATTGTTTTGAAAGAGTCAACACACAAAGACTTTGCCTGGAAAAATAAATGGTGCAAGTTTCTTTTAAAAAAAAATGTATTTCCTTTAATTTGTTTGATTGTTTTGTATCTGAAATGCCTGGACACTGAACTATTGACATGCAGTCAATATTTAGAAGTGGGGTGGATAGGGGTGTGTTTCTAAAGTTCCTTATGCTGATTTTAGTAGAGATCCCACTACAGAATGAAAATTCAAGTGCCATCAGCTAGTCCACTTTTAATAGACTGTGGAGTATATTGACACTAGAAAAAAAACTTACTGCATGGAGAAAATGTGCTTAAAATAGCTAGAAGAATCAGGGGCCTCTTGTCCTGAGAATGTCAGTCTCAAATCTGGGAGGAGCTTTACTAGTAATGCTACTTCCTTCTGTAATAGGTGGAACTGTGTCTGCTACACCTCTCTGCAAGCAACTCCACTAGCTAAACTCCACCCTAAGTGCATTTTGTGGAGTGGAATGTTTTCTGAAAAAGTGAGGAATGTTTCTGTTTCCCAGAAACAGTAGTCAGGGTGTTTTGGCTGGGCTGCTGCCTCTAGGTGGCTGGAGCTGTTTTGCCCCTTCCGAGCTGTAGTATGGTGCATTCACCAAGGTACTTCTCAAACAGGCTGTACACCGCAGGCCCTTCCATGTAAAGTTTACCATTCCTAAGAACCACAGGACTGAGTAGCATGGGTGTGCTGTGGAGAGGGGCTATGTACAGCATACCAAGCCCTTGGAGAGTTCTCCACTGAACAACATGTTTGACATTGAGGTACCAAGTTAGCCAGCATTTGGACCGTGGGCTGGTGTGCTGTGGTTTTGTATTTGACCTTTAGCTGAGACAATCCTTGTTCAGAAAAGCCCAAGATGGGAGAAGGGGGTCTTAGTTGTCTAACCAGTGCACCTTCTAGGTGTAACTTTTATTCAGTGTTAAGGAAGGGAGAATGTTTCTAATTGTTTTAATGGGAAGATAATAATACTTTTAAGCTGGCATGATAGTACAATGATAGGCGATGACAATTAGATGAGCTCTTAAATTTTGGACCAACGGCCCGTGTGCAAAAGTGGGAGGTTAATTCTACACAGTAGGTAAAGAAAAAGTAACCAAAAAATAAAAGCTGCAGTTGACCCTTCAGGATATAATGCACTTGTGTCAACATGGACTCTGCCCAAACATTGTTCTGCTGTGGAAGCAGCTGGATGCCCTGCCCTCTGGTTTACATAGCACCAAAGGGAAGGGGTAAGGAGAAATGATGTGAGGGTAGAGGGGGGTGGAAAAGAGGCAGGAGGGAAAATAAAGCAAACCCAGCTCACCTCTTCAACACCGTGCTCTGAACTGAAAATGTCCTGCAGCTGACCCTCTCAGCACTTATTTCTTGATAATTAGGAACCTGCATCAATGGAGAAAGAGTGCCTACCTCAAAGTCACAGGCATTGCTACAAGGAAGCAATTTTTCTGCTTCCTTTACAAATATTTTTCTTTGTGACGGAGGTGGAGGTGGGAAAAGTGGTGCAGGGGAGAGAGTAATAGCTATTTCTGTCTGGCCTGTTATATTCGAGGTCTAATTTATAGTATTCCATGTAGCATGATGGTGTCATTTTAATGGTGTATTAACACTGACGTCTGGAATATTTATTTGGTTGAAAAACGCATCTGTTACTAAATACATCTCTGGGGAGATGGCTGTGGGATGATTACAGAACTGATGGCCATCAAATTGATAGTATTTCTCTGTCCTCCTGAGTCTTCTGCTATAAAAGTGGGACAGGGCGTTTTCTGGTTAAGAATAATGGTCTCTGTGCTATCCTCAGGGGCAGATGTGACCCAGCACCTGCGCTCTGGAGCCAGGATAGACAGAGCTGCTACACAATTATCTTCCAGTTTGCTGTTAATTTCTATCCAGATTAATCAGTAGTTGCTCGGCATGAGGAACCACATTGTAAGCTTTAAAGGTTTACCACACACCATTGTTGTTTATTTATTTATAGTCTATTATTTATTCTAGAAATACTGGCCTGTTTAACCTGATTTGTAATCTTCCTTCCTTTTTTTTTTTTTTTTTTTTTCTTTTTGGCTGAAGTCTCTTATGTGATTTGCATATGTATAAAGCCAGGGGGGATAATTGGTGAGGATTTGTTTTTCTTGTTGACTATCTCTACCAGGTAATATGAGATAGTGCCCAACAGAGATTCTTAACATCCCTTACTTTAAACCAGGTTTAAACCAGGTTAATGTACTGAAGCAAGAGAGACATTACTGATCTTAGGAAAGGGACCTTTACTGAGCATTACAACAGCATTTTGTTTATTATTTGTGTTGTGGCTGTGACTGGATGTCCTAAATGAGATTAAATTATCTGATCTGAACCAGATTTCTCAGTTTCATTGTATGATGCCATCTACAGATTAGGAGTGAGCAACCACCTCTGCAAATACATGTACTTGATTCATGGAAATTAATTGAACATGGACTGTGCTGAAACTATGCTATGGATATTTTGATAGTTTATTTTCATTAGCATTCAAGCAAGGTGAAGTCCTGTCTGTGGGAAAGACGGGATGTGTGATGGAGGGAGCCCTGCGTCCCTGCGTCTGCAGCACGATGATCTATAGCTGTGGCTTCTGCGGGCTCACCGCAAACAGGGTGTGAGCACGAGTGCTCTGGTCACGTACATCGGTGGGTCTGTGACGCTGGGGATTCACTTGCCAACACCCTTGCTGAATGGCAGGGATTGCAGCTGTTAGCAATCAAGAGGAAGCTATAGTTTCCTTTTGACTTTTACAAACTGGCCTAATAAAAGTTCTATTTATTCAGGTGTTTTTATACAAATTTTCCAAAGATCCAGAGCTTGACCTTTGTATACGTAGTTTCCCCTCCAATTAGTGAAAAGCATTTAGAAATGTCAAGGATGGGATTAGAAGAGGCCTCCTAGGTGCTGTATGCTGCTGTTACAGCCAACCAGGTTGCACACTATCTTTTTCAGCTGTATCAGATAACAGAAATAATTTGCGTCTCTTACTCTTCTGTTTGCTGTACTGCTGTATCAGAACCTTGTTCAGGTTGCTTAGAAACCCTCTTCTAGAATCCAGTTTTTTTTCACGGCCCATTCATACTCATTTGTTCTCGTGCCAGTATTGTCCCTTAGTTGGGTAGCTCTTCTCTCTATCTAATGTTTACACATCACACTTCGATGTATTTGCAATAAGGAACCTTATTCTTTCTCAGCCTTCATAATTTTAGGCTAAACAAGCCCAGATTTTTTAGTGTCCACTCATAAAATAGGTTTGTTATTTCCTGGATATACCAAATAGCCTTTCCCTGCACCTGTTCTGGTTTCAGTTCCTCATCCATGGGACCAGTCTTGCAGAGGAAGATGCACCACCATTTAGCATAACAGCAGAAGTATCTGCTTGCCTGCCTGCCTGCACTGGCTTTACTTCATATGCTACACACTTAGGGGCACATCTACCTTTGCAACATCTCCTGCCAATGGGTCCTGGTTGTTCTATGATCATGTAATAAATAAAGGTCTTTTTCCTCTTGGTCTTCCTTACATAGGCATGCAGGGTTTGGTTTCTTGCTCTGGAACAATGCCATGCACTTATTAGATCTCCCTTGCTCCTTCCTCACTTGAAATGTTTGTTAAAAATATTGCCGCTGATCTTACAGCTTCCCATGATGCATTTTTTTTTTTTTTCAGGCTCATCTCCTACTCAGTTCCTTTCTTAGTTTACAGCTTTTTAGAATGCAGTGGCTTCCATCTCCACAGCCTCCTTCCCACTAGTGATCCTACTTTTGCTTCCACCTTTTACATCGCACTCCCTCGCAAGGCCTGGTGGTGAAGCCTTCATCTAGATTTCAGGTCATGCTAGAACATTTGTCATGTCTTTAATGTCAGAAGAGCCTCATTTTCTGTGGTTTTCATTATATTTAATACCTGATTTTTTTTTTTTTTAACCTTGTTTTGTTGCGTAAGGTCAAGTTCAGATCAGCTGGAATAATTTCAACTCTGGGAGCACACTTTCTTCATGTGGCTTCCTCAGAGCCCAATCCCAATTTCTAATATCTGTGTGATCTTTGTTTAATTTGATACACTTTTTGAGGTGATCATTCATCCACATGGGTTTGATGCCACCCTTATAG